AATCGTCTTGATAGGGCCTTTCTCAAGGTCGTGGCTGCTTCTGCAGATGCTGATGATAGCGATGATGATATTGATGTTGTTGTTCTTGTTGTTGCTGATGATATAAGGATAATGATAATAATGATGATGGCGTTGATGATGGTACTGATGGTGAGGACGACAGCGATGATGATGACGATGATGATATGATGATGGTGATGATAATGACGGTGATCTTTTGTCTTGGCCGCAACGGTCCAGGCATGCATGAATGCTTCACCTGCATACTCTCTCCCGTGAAACATGCCTGAATCGCTACTATGGGATGTTGCTTGAGCTGCAGGCAAGCAAATCTGCTCCAAGCCTAGGGTGTTCGCTCAGCGAAGTATGTTGTTTGAAGCCCTGCGCTCCTGCACGTTCAACACCCAAACTAAACGAGCTGCAGTTCTATGTTCTGCATCGCCAAGCCCAGCACCCAGCGAATGTATTAGGAAGGGTGGAGGAGGCGGGTATTGGCACTCAGGTATGGGATAGCTGGGGAAGAAAACCTGGCGCTTCCATAGGTTCCTGTTGCCTGACGTTTCAAAAGATCCGGCTCCTGTAAGCTACCAATGCTAACACCCAGAACCAGAACCAAAAATCGGTTCTAACCCGAACTGTCCGCGCTTTCGATCCTGATCAAATCCTACACCCCAAGACCCATAAACTAGAATCAGGATCCAATTTGAGATGGCACACCTTTCCCAATCTCTCAAACCATGAGTGCACAAGGCCATGGCAGCTCAAGCCAAGGTCACCTCTTCGAGGTACCTTCCCTGTCTCGTGAGGTCCGGAGAACGCTGCTATCATGATCCTGGTTTATGCTATCCGTACTTGGGGTAGACAAGGTTTCTCCGCTCTCCACCGGACGCTGAATGACAGAAGAACTCGTCATGGGAATGCAAACAACCTACGCCTTCTCTAAGCTCTACCATAGGACAAGTATTCTCGAACTGCACATACAGCCTAGAATTAATCAGGCAAGGGTGGACCAGAAATTGGCCTTGGTGCCAGCACACAAAGAAGTTGACGAAACCTTTGAAACCCCTTCGCTGCCTCTTCTAATCAAACGTTCCAGCTCATCTCGTTCTGAGTTTGAGGCTGTGTCCGGTTTTCCCATGAACTCATGCAAGTATCATTCCTTGCCATGGCTGTCAGACTTTGGCCATTATGAGGCAAGCGGATTTTGCACCAACAGCGGGCGTTGGGGCGCAGCTCTGGAATGGAGGCTAGTGGCTAAAGACCATGAGGAAGAGCACAATACTATATTGCCAAGACACCTACATGACCTTATAAACCCAAACCCTTGGATTTCTGATGGCATTGTGCACTTAGGGTGCTACAGGATTTCGTCCATCAGCAGCGAGAGGTTAAGGTTGGCAAAGGCTCTCGCACCTGATTCCAGGCTTCCGTTTCAAGAAGCTCCGTTCCGACCGAGCCGGGCTTAGGTAGGATCTTGTTGCAGGTTGTTACCCCTGTAAAGCATCCTTCGTTGACCATTCTTTCGAGGCCCCTACCCTGCACTGTCCCAATCAGTCGGTGCTTGCAATACGACACTGAATCACTCCTATTCATAAATCATTCTGATGAGAATCTTAAATCTGGAGGCCTACAAGCCTGGAAGAGTACTCCTGAGAGGGGAAGACCAGTTTTGTGAATGGCCAATTGGGGCTGCAGGAATTCGGAGGACACCATAAAGAGTGAGGCATTTCCTGTGATTATTTCCCTGGCACGTACTACTTCCACAAGGTTTCTGAAAGTTTTCATAGAAAGGAAACTTAGAGATGGTGATTTCCTTGTTTCCTAGATGTTCACTGCTCACATGGTGCTGCAGAAACTGCTATTTAAAAACTCAAGGAAAGTGAATAAGAACGAGGGCCTAGGGGTTTCCTTGGTTTCCTAGATTTCCACGATTCATCAAGTCCCTGATTCCCTGGAACTCTAGTATTGCTACTGTAAGAAAGGTCACACTGGTGCATCAAGGAGTGTTGCAACAAATTTCGACCCCAAGCAGTAGACTTGTTTCAGGCGGTGCAGTATTTATGATTTGTCGGGGGCATCGCTCATTATCAGGGGAAGGTTTAACCTTCGACACACCTAGCCAGGGAATTGAAGTTCGGAAAACCCACTAAGTCAACCCGAAAGGTGATCAAAGCTCCTCAAACAGCTTTCTTCCATGGTCATCCTGTGATGTTTTCATCCAAGCCCTCCATAAAGCCCTAAAAAAACCAAAACCCGTGCGGCGCGGTTCGACTACCAAATTCAACACCGCTGAGGCTGCCTCCCTGTGTAGACTTGGGCAACTTAAGAATAACATGAGCATTGGGTATGGAGACTCAGTACGCAGAAGGCGCTTGTCTTTGTAGGCGTTATTCATAGGACTTAGAAATATGGGTAGTTGCTGTCTAGGAGCGTTTAATGGTTCAGGCTTGAAAAGATTTCCAATTTACTGCTTTAGGGCTCCGATGAGTTCAAAAGCTTCTGGGTTGGATAGAAAAGCATCGCAGAAATTTATGGGATTTCTGTAGTGGGTTGTTCACCTTTGCTCCTCTGAGAAATGCAAGGTTATCCGAGGCGCCAACAGCGGCCAGACTTGCTGGGTCCCGCAGTGCGTGCGGTAACCGCGCGAAAAAAGAACGACCCAGCTAAGCAAGACTCTCCCGAGGAAGCTGGGGATATGTGCGTTGGGGCCGCAGGATGTACATCTCAAGAAGCGACCCCAGTAGTCTATACCAGCCAAAGTCGGAGATTATTTGGAGGGATTCATGCCTGGAACATGTAGCACATCTGGGCGAGATGTAAAATCACAAGCATCGTACTTGTCCACACTGTTGAAGTCCGCATCTACCACATCATCATTTCTTGCTATTCGTTGGTATTTGTGTGTATGACTGGATCTTCACTTAATGCATGCGTGATGCTCAATTCACATCAGATTTGCTCGAAAGCTACCAAAATTCGCTTTGCAGATGCCTGATTTAATTACAACCGGGTTCTAGGCGGGTACAGAAACCTGACCCTGCAGTGGCACAATCCTTGTTCTACTCTACATGCTGCTAGGCTCTAGTCGTACAAAGTCAGTGGCCCCAGGCAGCTGTCAAGCCGGGATTGGGGCTCCACGTTTGAGAGGTGCACCCCGTGACATTGGAAATACTTCCTAACATATATAGTCGATTGGTTGATACAGTAGGGGCAGCCCTTCTCTAGGCATGCCAGGTGCAACAATCGAGACCACTGGGCACTTGTGAGTAGTCGCCTTGCCGCCTTTGCAGCCAAAGGTTCCATACATGCTACTTTGAAGCCAAATCAGGAAGGGCATGGAAAAATTGGACGTGAACAAAGAAACATAAACACGGTGCGGGCCTAGCCTTGCTTTAAGTTTAGTGTAAGGTTACGGCGTAAGATCAATCCTTGTGTCCTTGGCAAGCTCGACTCTTAGAACCCTTAAGATCCAACCCTTTTTCGCATCCTCGCTGTCTGAGTCCTCAAGATCACTTCTGATTTTGCAGCTGTTGCTGCTGCTGCTGCCGCCAGCTGGCACCTGTCACGCTGTAGGTGTAGGACTGTAAGTGCCGCCCCCTTCATAGGACCCAGGCAGCAGTTAGCGCTTACCAAGTACGCCACCAGAAGAAGCATACACGCAAGACGCCTACACCCAAATGAGCCAAATCCGAATTCCACAAGGGGCTCGGGGGGAGTTCCCGCACGCGGGGATACTTAAAGGTCTTTAGAAATCCCTTTCTGAATGCATGCCTCTGACAACATTGTCTTTGCCGTCGAGATTCAGGCGGGCCTACCCTAGAATAGGAACTAAAGCCGAAAACAAAACCACAAAAAAAAACAAAACAACATGACAAAACAAAAAAAAAACGAAGCAAAACGCAATCTGGGGCTCCTTAAAAGTTGCCCTCATTCCCAAGAGTTCCAGCATTTTGTTTGTTGTTTTGCCTTTTTTGGTCTTTGCATTTTGTAATTACCAGGGATTCTGAATCTTAAGCCCTCAGCCGAAACCACAAATCCTGACGTCCAAAAAATCAATATTTTGGATTCCTAGCATTGAAGTCGTATCACTACTCCAAGCTATGGTAAGGTTCAGAATGAAAAATACACCTGAAATTTCAGAGTAATCATTTGAGGTTCAAACTACTCGTTGAATACTTTGTCTAAATATATTACTGTGATGAACGATTAGCTGTGGGTGAGTCTCACGACGCAGCTCCTAATCATGATGACCCCAAGATTTACATGTCAATGCTAGTTGACTGCTAGACGATATTGGTCGTAGGGGTACGTCACTATGATATCTGAAGCATGGCGATGAGACAATCAACCGCATAGAAATCAGAAAACAATGATTGGGTTTCTTAACTTTTTGAACTCCCAGGGGGTAAGAGAATAGGATGAGAATGCATAATACTAAAAAAGTACAGGGATTCCAAGAAGTAAGTAGGATAGAAAATCCACGAAATTGAGTGTAGTTTACGAGAATTGCTGGCCAATTGCTGCGTAACAGGAACTATTAGTGCACATCTGCATAACAGTGTTCTAAGAGGATGTGTATTGAGTAATTTGAATGAAGCTATTCTCAAGCGATGTTAAAAAAATCCTAAGAAACCTAAAAGCGCTGAGTGCGGGAACTCCCCCGAACCCCTCAAGCATAACTCACAAACTTTGCTTGCAGGCAACACTATCTGCATGAAGAGGGGATGCTGAGGATTTAGGAGGACCCGCTTAAGGATTGTTAAACGAAATCAAGGGGATGTGATGCAATTACCGGCGCGCTTGGCCGCGTTGCCACATGGGGCGCTCTCGCATGTACAACCCATGCAACAGGATCCTAATCATGGGCAATGGGCACACCCGGAGATCAAGGAAACACCCCTCAGTGGGCTGCTAGACCTCGGCTCGAAGCCCTAAACCCTAGAATTCGCGCCCGAAACACGCAAATCCAAATTTGTGGTCATAAGACTTTGCCAAGCAGCGTAACCGGTAGCCAGCCCAACAACCGACTATGCAGGGCGCGCAAACGGCCATGGTGACTGCAAGGGGCAGAACCCACCTGAGCCCGGGCCACTGAGTTATTCTTCCTGTGAAGCCCTTTGAACTTTTGCTAACTGAGCGTGGAGCTAGGCGCAAGGACAAAGAGTTCGTGGTTACCATGACCCAGCTTGCGGTTGAAGGCTAGTCACGTTTCCTGTGATATACAAATTAGACATGACTACCTAGGCAAGGACAGCGGAGCTCCGGTTTCAGGAGCGTGGGGATTTAGAGCCTAGGTCCTAAATCTTATTGAACCTAGTTTAGGGTCTTCAGGCTGAGCGACTTGAGGCCTTGGGCTTTGGGAGTTCAGGATAAGGTTCAGGTGCTGGGCTTCGGTGCCCTGACCTATGGAGACTCTGCAGGAGCTTGAGATGCACTACGTAAGGAAACACTTGAATTTGAAGGTCTTCCTGCCTCAGTTGCAAGGTCTGCAGCGTTGGGAAAGCAATTTGCAACGCCGAGCCGAAACGCTTGATAGCTAAGCAGAGTCCATCATTGAGTAGCGGAAGACCTGTAAAAATTATCATCCCTTGAGTTAATGATCCTTTGGTCTGAGAATCGGTCCTCTAGCTGTTTCTTGCTTCTTCCTCTTGTGCGTGGCCAAGAGACATCGGGAGCTTTCTGCCGGGCATCCTCAAACTCTCAAACTTAAGGCATATGTGCCCAACGCCAAGCTGTAAGCCCTAAAGCCTGAAACGCCCAAATACTTCTCCACAAAAAGCAAACCCTCATGACTGAAACCCCAGCTCTTATATGCAAAGCCTAAATCTGGAAGACCTTCTCAGCCGTCCAAGGTGCGCGAGCTCCACCGTCTCCGCAGGCTCCACCTTGCGCTCCAGTCAGGGCTGTATTATAAGGTTCAGTGAGTTGAGGGGTTGGGGGTTGGGGGGGGCTACAAAAGAGTATATCAGTTCTACAATGGCTGCAGGCATGTTCTTCAATGCGATCTGGACTCCACCACGCAATATCTCGACATGAGAAACCAGCTATATAACAACACTATGGTAGCCCCCTTCGTCAACACCCTGATGGGGATCATGTTGGCCTACGGCCTGTAGAAGCAGGGCAGATGCATCTGTGCCGCTCGGTCAAAGAACACGTAGGCTCAGGGCTCTTGGCTCGAAACCCTGGCACTGAACATGCGATTGACTTGGGCACCCGGCCACAGTCTTGCATTTAGCTTGAAGGCAGCTTCCGGGCTACAATTCAGAATTGGGAGGCCGACTGCAAGCAGGGCCTGTGGAGTAAAGCTATAGTAGTTCCACTCAGGGTAGGTCTGTGTCTCCACCCTAAACCCAGCAAGTGAAACCTAGGATTACAACAGTGCCCTACTCATAGTAGGTCTCAGGTCTGATCTTCCAAAGATGCTGGGAATGATTGTTACTGTTTGTCCCTGTATGACCCACTCGCCCATTCAAAGCCAAGCATGAGTAAGAGTAAGGACATTCCGACAGAGCCACCTGCCAGTAGACGGCAGTAGTGCCGTTGTTGCTCCACGTGATGACACTGGCAGAGTCGACCTGACGGTTCAAAAAGTCAAGATTCAGGGCTCAGTACCTATGGCTTACGACCGTGCTGAGGGCTTCTGACTTGGCATTTCAACCTTCCAACTTTAAACCGAAGGCATGTTGATCAGTGCTTAAGGCCAAGTATATGCGGTACATGCGTTCAAGGCTCATAGCTTTAACTTCCAGAGCTAGCTCATATGGCTCAATGAGCAAAAAGCTTTCTCACTGGGCTTGGGGTTTCAAGGGGTGTCGTAGACTGTCAACCTTTAGGTCTGAGGTCTGGAGCTTCTCGCTTTCTTGGGCCTTGGCAGAGTTGTTCCCTCTTAGACTTAACCTTCCGAAGAGTACTAAGACTCCACTGCCCGCCCCACTACATCATCCTGCATCTGCTCTACAATGTCATGCTAGCATTTCCAGAATGTCAATCAACAAAAGGCAGATTTTTATCAGGGGAGAGAATTGCTGTTTTTCTTGCAGAGAGGTTTCTCAGGTTGACGTATCCAGCACAAGGTTTGCGGACTCAAGTTGAGGGCCGGAGGGTTAAGTGCTTTAGGCTTCAAGACTCAGAAGTAGTCTGAACTTCTGACAGCAGGGGAGCCACAAGAGGTTAGTCCCTGTCTCCTAGCTTGTTTCGTCATCCCACTTGTGATGGTTCCCCTCCGTTTAGAGGCCAGTCGGCTTTTGCGAATGCATTTAGTTTCTCGCTTCCTTACAAAGGTCACAAGCTAGTTTGCACTCCGGTTCTAGAAACCGCAAATGTTTGGGTCGAACCGTAATTTTGCGCTAACTTTGCGAAAGATTTCCTTGCAACAGATCATGGGGATATGTATGCATGCATGCATGCATGCATGCATGCCTGCCTGCCTGGATGTATGTATGTATGTATGTATGTATGTATGTATGTATAAGGATATACAGCCAGCAGCGCCCCACTCTTCATCTCTCACCCGGATAGGTTTCATCAAGGCTTATTCCTTTACACAAACATATTCGGCACCTAAGTTGATGTGGGTGCCATTCTGACAACTCACAGGCCATGATTTATAGCTTGGTCTGGGCAGCATGGTAGATTCCCAGCGCTTGCAATAAGAATCGTTCATCCCAATTTGTCAGATCCGACCGTGCCTGTGGATCAACCACTTCAAAGTTGCGGCTTTAGGCTGTTCGGGTGGATAACATTCACCCAGCATGCTGCTCAATGGAATAAGAGCCTCAGCAAGCTAATGACAAATTGAGTATTCTTGGCCCCCCGAGACCCCAAGCAGGTGTGGACTAAACTTTAAACATGCGAAGGCAAAGGGAAGACTGGCATCGAAATATCTATAAGCCATGAAGCCTCCGTAGCTCAAGACACCCTAAGCTTTAGACTCTAGCTTTGGACCCTAAGCCCTTCAAACCTATCCGAGTCAAGCCCTTCTTCAACTCATCGAACCGAAAATCACTCACGCACGGCTTTCAGTTTAGGGATTAGGGCTAATCCTGTACTTTTCAACTGCGTCGCTTGCTCGACCAGGCCCACTTGCTGGTATGAACCATCCTGCACCTGCAGCCCAGTACTGACTGGTGCTTGAAAGGGGAGTGTGGAGCAAGTACTGGTAAGGACTCATGTGGGTGTAGGGGGATCGAGCTCGACGAGTCATCTGGGTCATAGTCTGACGAGTGGAGAAAATCTTGCACCGCTCAGGCTCGCGGGAAAGAAATTTCCACATGCGCAAGGGGGATAACTTATAGGTTCTATAGTCTTTGTCCCAGGCTAGAGAAAAGGGTCCTTGCTTCCGTTCTGGGTAAAATAACAGGCAGGACAAAAGAAGCAGCCTCGACTGGGAACAAGAGCAAACTCCAAGGCTGAATACCATAAACTTCTTCTGCTGTGCTTGTACAAATCTAATCCGACGTACCTGACTGAAATATGCCACCACCAAGCTTCAGCCTTGTACTTCCGCCTTCGCACTATGCAAGTGCATTCTTCTAATGTGGCCACTGCACCCCAATATGTTCGGAAAAATGCCACCCTGCACAAACCTGAGACCGTAGACCCTGAACTCAGGCCGCCTGACGAACGGCAAGGAGGCCGTCCTTGTCATTGCCATTGAACTTCACTCGCCCAGCCACCTGAGAGGTAGAAGACTTCGGGATTTAGGATCTAGGCTTCGCCAGACCATCACATGCCTTGATGCGCCCTGGTTTGGAGATGACAGCGCACTTGGGATACTTGTAATTATACCATGGCTTCGGGTACCTACAGCATGAATTACAAGGACTTTTCTGGGAGGTTGCTGGCTGAAAGCAAGCTACAGCCGATCTTTGCGGCATCAGGATGCAGTTTAGTGGTTGACAGTGAATGGAGAAGCGTCGACTAATTAATTACTTGTGAAACTAAACTTTGACAATTCTAAGCCGCACAAACA